TCTCCAGTTTAATCACTTTATTGATTTTTACTTGGTTATTTATTGCATGCAGCTGGAAACATTTCATCTAATTTACAAGTCACACACTCTGCACTGATGATCACGGAAACGGAAATCTGGACCTCATTGTCTTTGTTCTGCTTTTAGAAGTTTTTCTTCCTTTCATCATTCTCTATTTTTTCATTGAACAAAACATCCAGTGTTACATTTCTACAACACATCTGTGCAACATAGCAAGGAGAAAAGACAACAGGATGTGCTCAATGGGCTAACGTTTTACACTTAGACAATGTCACTGGACAAAACATGATGCATATTATTAGTGTGAAGAACAGCATAATGTGTTTTTGAAATAATCTGATTAAATGTCAAACCTACTGTTCTACAGGAGGGTCTATTGTTCAGCTGTTATAACTGCAGCAATAGTTTGTCATTCTTCATCATTATGTCCAACTGGACCCTCCTAACTCCATGTGGTTTGAAACCTTTGCTTGTTTTTTGAGTTGTGTTGGATTAAAACATTTCCAGATCAATAAAAGTTAGATCATTTCTTTGTTCAGATTATAACAGAAACTTAAAAAGGTCGAAGAGATTTGGTGCCATGCGTACTAAACAGCTTCCATCATGCCCTGATGTAAAATGAAACCACGGGTTGCTATTAAGGCAGTCCATGATCTGATGAATTCACCTTTCATACTGACAGAAAAGTTGGCTTCCAGCAAAAAAAAAAAAAAAAATCTCAACTAAAAGAAAAAACTTGACACTAAACATATTCTCTGCATGTTTTACAGCATTTACAGCAAAATATTTCTGGCTGATTTGACATAAGAGGTTGGGCCCAACATGGAAATAGCTCCTCCCATTTCAGCTTTGTTGTAAACCTGCATTTTATTATTTATAAATTAGATCTTTCCAAATAAATTAAACTAATGCTCAAAAAACATTTCTGCATGCCCAAACCCGAAAATCTGACATGCGGTAGTTTATTGTTTTGCAGCTGGAAAGTAAGGTTTCTAACAGATGTCACAATGATGAACAGTTATTAGTTGGTAAAATAAGGATATAAATAATATCTTCCGAACCTTTATGGAAAACAGCAATTGATGCTGAGCTACAGTCAACAGTAAAATCATTTTTTTTATGATAAATTATCAAGAACTCACTTCATAGTTATCAAGGGAATTTATCTAAGATGTTTTTTTATTATATGCTTCTACTGTAGGTTGATCAATTGGCTGTTAGTGGAGTGAATATAACCCTGTTAGAATTAATACCGACAAACTACAGCATAATTAAAGAAACCCAAGCTGCTCATCAACAAGAAGATCCTGGGTTTAAATCACTGCCAGGGTCTTGGTTAATGGAGCTTCTATGTTTTCCCAGTGAGAACAAAGAGAACATGTCCGACAATCCAAACACATAATAGTTACAGTAGCAGTCATTCAAAATGGCCGTTCCCAGTCAAACGCCAGCCGAATGGCAGCCCACTTCCCTCCAAATTCCAGCGAAATCTCCTCCAACTTCCGGTCACTGGAGTGACCCCCTCTTCCATATTTTTTCACTCTGACTCCAACCTTTCACTGAATTACAGGGTCTGACCAGAAGATAACGCTTCTCTTTAGATCTTAATGTCCACAAATCATGACAGAAAGAATATTTTAGTGCAAATATTGCTGTTTAAAAAGGAGTTGTAGGGGACCAGCCAAGGAAAGTGGGAAAATGTTGAATGGCTACTACTGTAGATTGACATACCACTGCATGTTCTTCAGTCAGAGACGGGGCATTGTTATTTCTACTGAGTGTCGCTGTGTTGTCTTGTGATAGGCTCGTCACCTAATCAAGGTGTACCATCTCGCAACGACTGGTAGCTAAAGAACGAGCCGCGCAGGATCTAGAGGTATGATAGCTGTGCTAACGGCGAAGTGTTAGGCACTATGAGAGAGAATAAGGGAAATTTCTGACATTAGCTCGATTATATAGACATAAATAATCAGAATCAGGGACTGATCAGAATAAAAATGTCTCATGTAAACATTTCCAGTTGGAATATTTAATGATTAGACTTGGCAAGATTAGAATTATCATAATACAACTGAGAGGGGTGGTTTATGCACATTGACAAGCTGATTGACATGCATATAAACTCTTGACATGATTAAGTCCTTCTAAATAAAGCTGGGTACACATGTGCGTCGCACACCAGTGGGATGTATTGCCGCCATCAGTGGGTAGTCGCTCTGGCTCACTGTTATCACCATGTCCTGATTAGCTTGTTTACATTACACCTTTTTAGTCCGATCCACTGTATATTCTAAATACTTCTGTCCATATAAAAGGTATAATCAGATACATTATATTTTAAATCAGTTGTAACATTTTTTTGCTTGTAAGCATAGCTTCTGTTAGAGCGGAAGAAAAATAAGTGTCTATTGTGAGCTTAAAAAAACCACTAGCTATGTGTGAGAACTTTGTTAATGTAATCCTGAAGTATTTTTATCCTGAATTATCCTTGATTTAATTCTATTTTTTCTCAGGGAACAGCAGTAGTGGAAAAAAGACATTAAAAAAGTGCAAAGTAATTAGACTTGTATGCATGATTCACATGCTTTTGCACAACAACATTTAAATATACGTAGTCATGTGGAGATCAAAGCAGCTTCAGAGGGAATTTAAGACTTATTGTTTCAAAGTATGATAGAAGCAAACTGGTTTAAAGAGGTGGAGCAAAGATTAAAATTCATCCTACAATTACTGTCAACTTTGGTAACTTTGAAGAGGAAATGAGACACCCTCTGCTAGGAATTGTTGTGAAAATTGGTTCTTGGCCACGAAGAGGAAAATATCAGACTCAGGACACTGTAAACAAAAAACAGCAGAAACTGGTGCAATATCTCTAATGTCATAAGTAAGGCCCAGCCTGGAAAAGAGCAGTCATTAACTGCAGTTGATGCAGATGTACTCATTTAAGTGAAAATTCAACTTACATGCTGCAAAATGTACCTCACCAAACCTTGTGTTGTCTTTTCCATTTCATATCTAAACACTCCTTTATTGCAGATCTTCATGTGTGTAACACTAAATTCTGTCTGGCTCTTCAGTACAGAAGGCCACCCATGGGGTGTTTGTTTGTCATCAGCCACAAAGTGCTATCCCATTCTAAACAGAAGAAAAAGAACAACAAGGAAGAAGAGGCTGTGGGCGTTTGAAACCCTTAGGTCCAGAGAGCAGATTGAGGAGCTTTCTCTATAACTATGCTGCTATAGCCTTATGCCCAGATTCCTTATTCTCCGCACCTATCCGTGTCAGGTCAGTTGCAGACCGCCTCTGTGCGAAAGCAATGTAAACTGTATCTGCTGTAACGCAGCTTAACTTCACTACAAGTTATTTGAGTTCAGAAGATGGCATTTGTGAGAGGACCAGGCAGAGCCAAGCAGACTGGAGAGAACAGAAAATCTGAGTAGCTCAGTATTTTGACGATGAAGTATGGAGAGCACGGCGGTGGACGCAACTATGCAGTTGCTCTGTCTGACATATGTAATCGGAGAAAAACCAGAGGATGGGAAATTTTGGGGTTAGGCTGCTGGAGGACATGGGGACAACTTTTCATCATTCTGCTTCATTCTGTCTCTGTTCTCCAATTCTGTTGTATTTGTTAAGTCAACCACTTGCTTTATGTACTCTCTGCTTTATCTCGTCCTTGTAACCTTATCTGGTCTGGTCCTGTTTGGCTGTAACTCCGTCCTTGAGGAGACTATTAGCTGGGTTGCTGCCACCAACACCTAGAATTATTGATGATAGAGCTGAACCTGTTTTTTCAGTGGCTTTTGGCTCTGCTTTTACTGTGACTAACTGTATGTGTATTCTTTCATCCATTTGGGCAAGAAAACTGGTTCAGAGCTCAGTTTAAACAAAAATAGTACTAGCTTTTTCTTCATTTCCAAATGGTCCAGATTTTATTGGCAATACATGCAATCACCACTGCTCATTATGGTCGAAGTTAACTTTAGCTGTGTTGAGCATACGATATTCCAAAGGGGTGCACTGCACTTGTCTTTGCTTGCCACAGCGATGAATCCCCCCTGGCATTACGTGAACCATTAAAAATAAGGAGGTTTAGAGTGCAGCAAAGTATGTGTCACATCCTGAAAGGGCCATAAGTGTCCAGTGATATATTCCTGTCTGTAATTGTTACACTTATTAAACAGCAGAAAAGCTGTGCGCTCCCAGTTTACAGCCTAAAACAGACCACTATTGTTAATGATTAGGTTGTGTATACTACTGGATGATTAACAATGTTATCTGAACCAATACAACCTGTAGAATCTACACACTCATGTTACTAAACTTACAATCAACAATTGAGTACTTCATGGTATATATTATTGTGTAAAGGTTGTGCTTTGTTCTTTTGCTGTTTTTTGTGTACAGACGTTTATATAGTGAAGAGAAATAAGGTGAATGCTTTAAAACCCCTGCTAAGAATCTAAAATGTTTAGAACATTTTAAAGATTGTTTTTGTAAGATCAATTAGCCAAGGTCACAAAAAAAATTGTGTTGTGTTTTGCAAAAGAAGTAAGAAAAATATGAGAAATCAGAATGAAGGCATGGTGGCAAGTAGAAGAATTCAAACAATGTGGATTGCATTCAGAAAAGGAAAATAAGATTAAAATACGATCCTGAAAGGAAACTGGTGTGGGGAGGAAAATAGGCTTACGACAGGATCTTAAAGTGCTCAGGAGATGTGTTGTACACTCACAAACAAATACTTTGACCATAAAGTAAACCCAGTGCTGGCCCTTGAGATAGACTGTCCTTTTGCTGAACTCATGGACACACACTTAAACACATACACACACATAGAAGTCACATGGTGTTCAGGACATCCCACTGAGACGGTGTGCATTCACAGTAGACTTAATTCATAAAATAAACACACAGCAGTGTCTAACACAGTAAACTGAAGTTGCAACACACTAGAGCCCCACCCTCAAACCCACCCCCAGTCACAAGCAGTGGAAGAAATTCACGGCTGGAGTTAATACATCTGCGCCTGTCCTTTCTGGATAAGTCTTTGTTGGTCTCACTCAGTTGGTCCTCCCATGTTTCTGGTACCACAGAGCAGTTGGCAGGTTCTGGCAACCCTGATACTCCCGCCGCATTTCACTGTCTGTAAGAGGAGGGGTGGCATTGCATGGCGCTCCTGCCAACGTCACATTTAAAAGGCCAGCCCATGGCTCCAAGAGGTGAGACATTCCATCAATCTAGAAAAAACAGAAAAATGGTGTAAGAGAAGAGATCTGATGAAGCATCAAAAGACCAAGAAAAATCCAAAACAAAATGCTGGTAAATGAAAACTTACCTTCTCCAAGTGGTCTAATAGGCATGTAGAAGCAGTTATAGAGGACCAGCTGCTATCATCCCAGCCAGGGAATAGTCTGTGGTTCTGATAAGTCTGGATCTGTCTGGACTGATGCTGGATCAGGACCACATTGTGGTGCTTCTGGGAACTCCTTAGCCTCTTGGACAGGACTCCACTATAGCTCTGATCTACAAACAGGAGGACACGAACTGCCCTGCAGCCGGCCAGATCTGCCAGCAGCTCACTCACTGAGTAGCGTTCCTTTAGGTCAGCCTGCGCAGAGAGAAAATGGATTTTGGAAAAACAACCAGAATTGAAACCTCAACAAAGGTTAATAAAAACACCAAGAAGACAAAATGGTTAGAGTCTACCATAAGAGGAGACGTTGGCATCTCAATCAGAACTCTCATCATATAAAATAATTTTTTTTAGAGTCCTAAAGAATGTAATCACTATAGATGCAAAAAGATTTTTCCTTTCTAAACCCATGACATTATCGGCAGAGGGTTAGGAAAAATGCTTGAAGACAACAAGAGGGGCATTCTCTATAACGTAATTCCACAGCAGAGATTTAATCAACTCCTCCTCTGTAGTGCCCCCTCTGTTAGTCTCATCATTAGTCATTTATAATACCTGACAAAAGTGAGCAAACTCCTAATTATCTTGTTATATGTTTATCTCTTTTCAAAGGTACAACACTGAAAATGTTAAACTATGGCGCAATGTAAATTAATCTGTGTGCATCGTGTGTAATTTAAGTGTATTTTTCTGTCCTTTCAAAATAACCAAACAACCCCCATTTCAAAGGGGGTTGTTTGGTCCATTTCAATTTGCATGTTTTCTTAGCCAAAAACAAGGCTTTGCTTTTGGTCAACTTTATGAAATCTCGAACTCAATGCTATTTCTGACATTTTGAATAGAAAAAGCTCCCTGGATGGGAAGCGAAACGTCTTCAAACTTGTAAATAAAGTCCAGTGGATTGTTTTTTTCTACTTTTTTGGAAAATCTAAATGCATGCATTATCAAATAAAGTACAGCTCTAAGTGAAAATGTCTAAATTGTGCCCAAGTAGGCATTTCCCCTGATTTATCTTTAGTGGTAGATTAGGTGTCATCTTTCTAATTTTCTCTCATACTAGTTACTGGAAGTTTAACATGGCCAAGAACTCTCTGATAATGTTGCGGAAAAATTGGTTGCTCTAGATAAAGATGGTCTAAGCTATGAGATGATTGCCTTAACCCTGAAACTGATGATCAAGTCCCAGTGCTGTATCTGGTGTTTGTCACA